AGGAAAAGTTTGTTTGTGTGGGAGTGTGTACGGTGGGTCATGCCACTAAGGTAAACACGGCTTAACACACTGACACAAATGGGCGACAAATCTGAACAAAAGAGAAGAAAAATGGCGCAAAAACTCAACTTAACTCAAAAAACGCTTGAACTGTGAACTTTGCGTACATAATTTACGCGTAATTTGATAAGGTTAATTAAAGCTACAGGCAATAAAAATTAATAACTTACGTTGTGTGAGATTGCGATTGCGCGTTTGGTTTAATTGCACCTCTTATGGATAGACGCACATATATAAACGTATGCATGTATGTATCTACATACATAGATAGATGCTATTATACATATAGTAAATAAGCCACTGACACAAGTCACTATAACTTAGCCTGATTTATCTCCAGAGATTTCGGCAAATGCAAAATTCCCCACCGCTCACTCGCGCACACTTTCTTGATTCAAATTGTTCCCGAATCGTGCGAATACTCGTCACACACACACACCCACACGACACACTCAACTTGACTTGGCAAAACTTCTGTAGTAACTAAATAGCAACGGCATACGGTATCGTATAACACAAAACAACGGCGCATTGGTGACAGCGACGTCGACAACGACGCGAACGCAGACGCTGCCGTCGACGCCGCGCACTGTGTGCTCAGTACGCAAAAAGCCCATTGGCATTGGCTTTGCAGAGAGTAGCGTGGAGAGAGGGTCTTGCTGGGTCTCTTGCTGATTAGTTCGACGTTGACTTGTTGCTCCTGCTCTTGCTGTTGTTCGCAGAGGCTGCGACTGCGACTACGACTGTGACTATGAATGCGCGGGTGGGTGTTGGGGGTGGGTGTCTAGCCGGCTTTGCCGTGACTTGTTGACGATTTGTTTGTTTGGTTCATTTTGACTGCGCTGCGCTCTGGAGGCACGAACCACAGATCCGATATTTAACAATTTGTATGCATAACTGCACACACAAACACACACACACACAGAAACATAAATATACCACTACATGCAAATGTACGTATATATGTACACATGCTTGTATGTACAAACATTCTTACACATGGGGACGCTATGCTCATATGAATGCGCATGTGCGCATGTATCTCGTGTATCTGGCTGAGTGCGGTTTTTTACCCTTTACCGAAAGAGTACATAAGCTGCTAACTTAGTGCGATTGTATGTATAATTATAATAATTATAATAAAAGAGGCGTGGCATACTCCACGCACATTCATACATGTATCTTAAGCATATAGGTATATACTATAAATGATCCGTATTATCGATAGATAAATTGTATTATGTCTGCCTGTAAAATAATCCAGAACTGTTGGCATTTACATTAAAGTACATATATAATCTTACGTAGCTGTCGCAGAATAGACTAGTAGCTGTTACAATGCCTCTTGCAGTTCAAGGACTGCGGCAGAGTGAATGGTATAGTGTATACAAGAGTCGAACTGAAACGACTTTACACATTCTACTCGTTTGTTGTTGTTTGTTTTTGGTTGTAGCAGTTGCGGGTGGAGCACATACATGTGTACATACATACATAAATAGACATACACGATTACTCAGAATCAGGCAACGGGTTACGAGGAACAGCGGAGCACAACAAAAGAACGCAATCATACAGAACTACATACATTTGTATGTTCGAGTATGTTGCATGTCTACATGTATGTATGTATGTATGTGTACATGTTCATGTGCGCATCTGGTTTAGGGCAGCCACCAATACACTGTCATTAAAGAACATTTCTCTGCAGTCTACCGACCGGTCGACAGAACGATGACGGCATTATGGGTGGTGCTTTAACTGCCAGGGTTGCTTTAAAAATAGTTCAAGCCTTGCTTACATTCTGGGAAAACGTAAATACATAATAAATACAAGTAATATTGTGTGTGTATGATCGATTTATTTTAAAATAAATTCTCAATGATACACTACCTTATGAACATTGTTATGTAGACTGATTATATAGTATTTTCTATCAGAGTACGTAACATTTCTTGCAATTCTCATTTGAATAATTATCAAAAAGGAATTAAAGAAGTTTCCATGGCGGCCAAATAAAATGATTGTTATTATCAACTTTGAATCAAATGTTTTGACAATTTTCAAAAAATGAAAATAGCACCTGGGTTTCTTCATACTTTCATAACTTTTGGAGATACTCTCAAAATATTCCGAATCCTTTAAAATTAAAAATTAGCCTTATATTGCCATTAATATCTTTTGAAAAGTAAAAAATCGTATTTATCTACTAGGAACTAATATGTATTTTTATACGATTTTTAATAGCTTAAAGAAGAACTCTTTTCTCTATGATTATATGTAGGCCTTTTAATATCTAAAATAATTCGATTAAACCTCGCAAACACAATAACAAAACTTTTGCCTGTTGCCGGCTTTAGGCTATGTCCACTCATCCATATGCCACAACATCACCCTCACCCTCACACTTGCACTTACCCAATCCGACCCGACTAAGCGACATACACATGCATATACAAGATACACATACACATACACATACCCGTTGACTTTGTCGGCATGTCTGTGAGGCAGCTTCATTGTCGTTGAGCTCCACCAGACTTAGAGCAAAAAGCAACAGGCAGCAGGCAGCAGGGCGTGCTATGCGCAGAATGGGGGTTTAGGTTCATAATCAAATGCTGCTCAAAGCAACGGCACGGTTCGACGCTTTTCCCCTCCCTCTCCACGGTCTAACTGGGACCGACCGACGACATTTTTTATTATTGCCAGCTCTGTGAGTGTTTTTGTTATAATTTTTATAGTTTGTTTTCGTTTATGCCCTGAAATGTTCCATGAACATTGGCTGATGCTAAGTGCGACGGCTTATAACATTATGGATAGGAACAATGGAAGTGGTGCAGGGGTAAGGCGTTAAAGCGGTACGTAGTTGGAATAGTTGGGTGTGTGAGAGTGTCCCGGCGGTACTGAGAAGCACTCTGGCTCTGGCATTCCTACGCCTGCACCCACAACACAACAATTCCCACACAACTAAAAGCCTAGGCCGATAGACAGACAGAGAGACGGACAAATAGACAGACTGGCAGGCAACAAGCGATGGACAACAGGCTGCAGACTGACAGCAAACTTGCCCACAAGTGGAGCACTCTCAATAACGTCAATGATTGATAGTGTGGAGAAGGACAGTTAAGGAACTGGGTAGAAGCCGAAGGCAGGAATTCATTAAATACAGCAGCTACATCAAGCAGTCGTTCAAATTGCAAGGACAATAGGTGCATTTGCATAATGTTCGAGGACATGTGACAGGGACAGCGAATGAAACTCGAATGCGATCTTAATTAATAGAGTGCAGACAAAGCGCAGACTAATTAGAGCTCTAACTAAAGCAACAGGCACACAAGTATCAAAGTACACCTTGTATTCGAGTTTTGATTCGATAGCCAGGAAATCCAAAATCATCAAGAGAGTTTATTCCTCTGTTATTTTGAGCATATTTTTCATAGACAGGAATAGTTTCTGGTCAATAGACGTTTGATACACTGCAAAATTTTCTCATTTCTGAAAATGTTATCATGTTATCATCAATTAAACGCAACAATGACCTATTTAGAATGTACAAATATAACATTTAAAAAAACGTATGCAATATTGCCATATTTTTTTGGAAAGCTTACAGCTGCTATGTTCGAAAAGCATACTTTTAAATAGTTAGTTTCTAATTAGGTTTCTTTAAGTAAAATCTTCACCAAAAATTTCTGCAATTTGAAAACATTCTGCCAGGTCCCTTTTTGTTTTAAATATAAAGAGGACCTCTAATTAATAGAGTTCGCATTTTTAAGTATTTTAGATAACATTTTTGGTTGATAATAAAAAAAGAATTTCAAAAATTAATTGAATAACTGCAGAGTTTTCCCCTCATTACAAATAATTTGTGGCATATCATTGGTAACCAAACCCTGTGCCAGTTTTCAAAATGCTCTGGAGGGACTTTAAAGCACAGAGCTCTTAAATTGTGTTAGAATGGCATTCTAGGCGGTGCAAACAATTTTAATAGGCAGTGCGTGTTTTGTTTTTGGCTCTGCAAGCTATAGTTATATTGAGTCGCCATTTAAACGAAGATATTGGGGCGTCTTTATAAGTGTGCGTTAGTAGAATAAAATGCAAGTTAGAAATTTACGATATGAAAGCTACAGCATTTTCGAAATTGACGAGAATGAAATGCATATTATCTAACGAAACTTATTATTTCCGCACTTAAACTTAGACCATTCCTTTTAACACCAGCTTTTCTCAGTGCATTGCCGGCGAATACAAGTACAGCTCATGCTCTTTTCTCATATTGTGTTACAAAAAGTTGCTGCATTAGAGAGGAAGAAGAAGTGGAAACTTGCTTGCTTACCCACAATGCCCTCAGATGGCTGTTTTTCCGAATTCCGACGACTCATGTACGGGGTGCCACAATGAGCACAAATTTCGGGCTGTTGTTCTTGTTCGGTTGTAGCTGAAGGACTGTAATCCAGCCGTAGTGGCATTAGTCGTATTGTTGTTATTGTTATGCAGGTTTGCTTGTCTGCTGCTTACCTGCTGCTCAAAGCTAAAATCAGTGGGCCACGCGTTCGATGCTCCTGAAGCAATTTCAGGAGTTGCCCATCACTGAGAGCTACATCCTGAAGTCTGAGCGAGCTCTGAAACACACGTGTCGTTCCACTTAGTACGTATTTTATTAATTACAGCTCACATTTACACACAGAAGGTGGAGATTAAAGATAATTACAGCAAGTAGCAACAACTGAATTACTTATTACTAGAGTGGAACTTCCCTATAATAACGCTTTCGTCTATTATAGGGAAGTTCCACAGTACTGCGCCTACACTTTTGGACACACGTTGAGGCTTCTTATTCGGCTTCTCTGCGCGGCGTAGCGAACAAAATTTCAACATTTTCAACGATCGCCCTGAACAGACTAGATCTCCAGGCTTAGATCTGCCCTCAAAACACTGAATCGTTTACCGATTTTGTGGGCGTTGCGGTGCGATAAGAGACGACTGCTACGCCAGCTCGCAAATGCCGCGACGCTCCATGAAGACCTCCAGACAAGTGTCGTCGACGCGATCGAACAGCAGCGATCCGAAGCGCCTGGCCGTATAGTCCACAATCAAAACCATCTTGCAGTTGATGCATTTGTCCCGGTAATGAAAGAGCAGACCCACTGTTTGATGAACTACGTGATCCACAAAGCCCGGCGCCGAGCGGTACACCTGGTGGTTGCCCATCTCGACTATAGAGCGGGTGTTTACCACCAGCTTGCTTCGAACGTAGGCGGGCATGACCTCCAGAGTGCGACGCACCTTCGTTTGGGTGTAGAGCAGTCGATTGCGTGCATGTGCCGGTGCATTGAAGGTGTCGTTGCTGTCCCGCCGATAGAAGAATACGTTGCGAAAGACGAAGGCCGTAGTACGTCCTTCGTCGCACTGTCGCAAATACTCTGCCAGGGAATTGTGCTTCAGCGGCATAAGCACCTCGTCCAGATCCACAATGGCCGCATATCGCGAGTTGTCGACCACATTGGCGCGATAAACGCAATCGTTGAACTGTGCCACAATTCCCGCATAGTGCAGGTCCTGCAAATGTCCTCCCACATTCCACTCGAATACATCGGCCAGTCCGAGGTGCTTATAGTGCGCCAACACCCGAAGCACTTCTTCGCTGGCCTCCACGTGGTAGAAATAAAAGTGTGTAGCGCCCTGCAGGCGGTACATCTCGACGAACTCCACCAGTCGCATCACATTCGAGTAGTTGTCCTGCAGAGGACCAACGCAGACGCCGATGGCGGGACGGGACTTGACAAACATGTCGCTCATGTTGCGAGGATAACTGCAAAACAAAAGGCTTTAGTTAATACAGAGAGTTCCTTCAGCGAAAATTAACTCATAAACATGAGAAACGAGGCGAAAGAATGTTTATCTCACCTGACTTGTATATAGGTGGGACTCAAATGACTCAGTCTATTGGAGGAGTAGCCGAGCGCCACGGCCTGTGGCAGCTGAGCTGCCTGATTTCTGGGCACGTGCACCGGACACATAATGGTCCAAGCGGCAAAGCTATTATTGTGCACCTCCTGCATGGCACGCGCTTCCTCGGCCACAATTTCCTTGGTGCTGAAATCTGCATATCGCACAATACAGCTCAGTGTAGAGTCCCTTAGCCGTTCGGGCAGTATGGCAAATATTCGCAACGATCCAATCGTCATTTGGTGCTCATCCAGCCGCACATTGCCTACAAAATTGAGAAATTATGAACTTAATGCGTTTGTGGTTGCTAAACAAGAATTGCTAAGCAATAATATAAGAGTCAAACATACACCCTGAAAAGACTTGTATTAGGCTTAAAGGTCAACAAATGTTGTAAAGCCTCAGCAAGCTACTCAGTTACATATGTACATGAATGTACTTGTATTATGTATTCCCGCCACCTATGTATCGTATGTATGTAATAACTAATGTTATTCCACTTCATATACATACAACTAGTAGTAGAAAAAAGGAAAACTATTGTCATGAAGCATTTTAATATTTAAGTTGGCCAAAACGTTTAAGTGTAAAGTTTGTATTCAATTATTTATTCATTAATTATATTGGTGACGGAATATGTAATTCGTTAGTAAAACTATTTATAATTCAATTGCTTGTTTAGCCCCAATTTATCTTCATTTGAAATACTTGATGGCAATATTTGCCGCGAAATTTAAGCAATTATTGATACTTTTTTTACACGGATACTTAGACTAGAAAATAAATGCTATTTGAATAATATATTATCTATTTGAAATAGGAATACCATTCGGTCTCTCGGATATTGAACAAATATTTGTATTTTTTAAGTTAAAAACGTAAAAAACAATTTTAAATAATTGGAATAAGTTGAGCAATTAGTCTGAGCTCTGTAAAGCCGACTATGCTTTTGTGCTATGGTCCAGTCCTAGGCAAGTGCTCCTTAGCCATAAGACTGGCTAACTTTAGCTTCATTTGGTTCTTCATTGAATGTGTAAGGTATAACTTTTGAATACAAATGTAATGAGTTTTACAAATATTTTAATAATAACCTAAGCCCACTTACCAATAATTTCCGTACGCGTATCGAAGTACGCTGAATAGATTTCATGGCGCAAGGTCGCGTTTCCAATGCGTCGCCAACTATTTAAATAATTCCAGTGGGGATTCGGTTTCTCATAGATGAGCTGGCGTTGGGCTGCTTTGAGATCATCGCGCAGGCGTTCATTCTGTAAGAGAAGGAGTAGGACAGACAGACGCAAATGTTAAACACTCAATTGACCAGTTGAGGCACAAAGCGAGGCCTAGATTTTGGGCGTCATTTACCCATTGGAATTGGAATTGAACTTGGACTTGGACTCACAATGGTGGTGCGCATGGAGATATAGACCAAAATTAACATTGTGCACGCGACGAGGCCGGAGAGCGAGAAGTAAACATATTGAAAGCGGTTCTCTTGGGTTGCCAGCATGTTAACAATTTAATTAAATTATTTTGTTAAATGTATTTTTGCTTCTTCGACGACGACAACGGCAACGACAACGACAACGACGACGATGAGGACTGGGGCCACTGCCACTTAACCTTGAGTGGCTCACGCAGCTGGAGAAGCTGTCACACGCACTATACACGTACATATATGTGTCAACGCGTCCTCTTGGCCAAAGGGCCTGGCCTCCAGGTGTGAACTACACGAGCTGTGTGCGCAACGCGCAGGCACTTGGCTGCGACTAAGTGTCAAGCTGTTCTGGAATCGCCGCTACGACCAACTAACGCGGTTTATTTATTTTCATTCACTTTGGGGCTTGTCAGCCAGTGCTGGCAGTTTGCGTTGGCGCCGACAGTGGCAGTGGCAGTGGCAGCGGCAGCGGTGTTAGCGTCGCGTGAACGATGGCGCCAAGCCCACAAGCTCCTGTTGCTTATTTGTTTAGTGTTGTTGCTGGATGGCCATCGATTAACGATAACATGCGTTATTGTTGTCTATTGCTGGGGGCTGGGGGCCGTCGGCGGCAAAAGCGTTTCGAAGGGTGGCGTCTTTCACAGACTTTCAGTGTCATCATCGAACCTGATGACCTGTCCTCAGCATTCCTTCAAGTTCGCCATTCGATTCACATCCACAACCCCACAATGCACTCTGCTTGACCTGTTGTTTCCGGTTCCTCTCAAGAATTACTCTTATTACACACACACACACACACAAATTATGTTGCCTTTCAGACCACAACAAATAGCAGGACTGTGGCGCCGCACGTCTGCCGCAAAGCGTATGCAACAAGTTAATCAACGTACGTTTCGAATGAAACTGGCGCTGCGTTGTGGCCTGCTTGGGGGGCGATGCCAATGGCGATGTCAACGCCGGCGTCAACGTCAACGTAAACGCAAACGTCGGCATCGGCATCGGCTAGGACGATGGAGAACGAAGTGCGCGCGCCAAATGCGACGCAACGACAACAATAACAGCAGCAGCAGCAGCAGCAGAGCTTTATAGACTGCCTCGGCCATGCATCGGTACTGGAGGCACTGAAATTGTCGAGACTCTATAAATGTGTGTTTTTGTTTGCCAATAAGGAGTGTGTCTCGTCTCGGCCTCCATCTCCGTCTCCGCCCCCGCCTCTTCGACAATACTATATGTGTGTTGTGTGTGACTCAGCGGCTCTTTGTGTTATTATGATTTGGAGCTATTTTTAAATGGAATCACACACACACACGCACACACACCCAACAACAAAATCCTAATTACATTATTGAAAATGATGAAAACATTCTAAAACACATATGCGTATAGTATATAGTATATTCCACAATATACATTTTATACGGCCACATCCAGTATATATTTGCATATATGTCAGTATAATAATAAATTCGGACTACGACCACTTCAATAAAAAAATACGCCACACGCTCACAAGCTGTGCATACATACACACATGCTTGCATTTATAGAGTATATATATATATATTTTTTTTTTATCAAATTAACTTGATACATATTGAGAGCATGCCTTACAGTGGAATGAGCTGGCCAGAAAATAAGTTCAAAACAAATATTTTTGATTAGCGAACTTTATGTTATGGAGAAGCCAGCTTGTACGATATACTAAGTATATACCAAGATATGAACAAATTTTTATAAGTTTCATATACTTATCTTCTGGCGTTTAAATGCTATATTGATTATATTTGTCCTACTTTAGTCGAGGATTTCAATATGTATTTTATAGCTTCAAGTCGTATTAACATTATTTCGAGTTGGCCTTTTGGCATGATTTAAATTTCACACATTTTTTCCAACCACGCGCTCCACTGTACAAAATTATAGACATAATAAATTCGCTCATCACGATGCAAAATTTCTTCCGTTATTTATGGAAGCATTTTTGAAAAGAAATTCGGTTACTTGGCTAAGACATTGTGAATATATTTTCCCATCTTACTGCTAGTAATAAAACTAAACAAACTCAGTTACAACACTACATTGATATTAGACATTTTTTCATACATTTGCGAATAAGTTACTGATTTCCCTTCTTAAAGTTAATTGTCATCCTCAATGTGTATGTTTCAGAAGAGATAAAAGTTATTTTTCTTTAATTTATAATGATTTGCATATACCATTACTGTGAAGATCCAATAATGTGCCACGTGTAAGCTTTATCTGAGTGTGCAGGTAATATAAAATTAAAATAATATATAATTTAATAACTTAAGCAGGCATTAATAGCTTCAGTTTTATTTTTTATTTCCACTATGCAGAGCACTCTGCTCGCCTAAGCACATGTTCTTATGCGTTGCTTTAGTTCGTTAGTCAGGTGGAAAATGAGAAAGAAAAGCGAGATCGAGATTGGAAGGGCGTCATATCCTCGTTTCATTTAATTTGCTTTAATTTTCCATGTCATTTAGAATGTAAACTTTTTAACACTCGTAAACAGAATGTGTCTCTTCTTTGCCATTCATTAGCAAGAGCTGATTTATCTTATTTCTCATTAATTAATTTTTGCACACACTCACACTTAGATAGATATTCTCGTACAAAAGAAATGTATAAATCAGTGCTGACAGATAGAAAATGTGCGCGAGTCGAATTCGGAATGGCCGTTTAAATCGAAACATCTTTTCACTGGCCACCAACTATTACATAAATGGCTCGTAGTGGAACGCGGCATGTCTGGGCCCGCTCCGCAGTTATGAACTTACTATTTTGGATTTCGATTCTTGCTTGCTTGCATGATTAGGGAATCGGACAGCAACTGATAAGAGTGTTTATCTGCTCATATTGAGTCGGGGGGGCCGACGACCACAAAATACTGTGATATTTTTACCAACTCGGAAAGGCTAGTGAAAGACATTCAAGTAATAAATAAATAGATGAAATGTGTTATCTTATTTACTTCCTTAGGTGAGAAGAATAATCTAAAAGAAATACTTGTAATGTTACCAAATGCATTTTGCTTGCCCGTCTAAGCTATGCCGCGATGTGGTCTGACACTTAAATGGAAATAACAGACAAATATTATGAATCAAATGTAACTTTTTAAAAATGTATATAAGAATGAATTTGTATAAGAATAAATTAGTAATAATTGGTAATTAAATAATGCGGGATAACTTACTATAATGTGATTTGACTTGTCGCAACTCATAGTCATCATTAAGTATAGGCTTTTCATATTTGCAATTTAAGCATTAAACTCGAAAATTATGGTGCTCCATGAATTACTCCATAATGGAACAGAGAAATCTTCATACCCAAGAAACAACTTGTGCAGAAAAAAGTGACAAGGGCTGTATGTATTGCGGTTACCCAAGAAGATTGAAGGATCGTCTTTCGGCCCCATTTAATGAGATTAATTTTCAATTTACAATTGCAAAGTAATCCAGGGTCTAAGAGTTCCATTCAAAATCAAAATTGAAAAGTTTTACATATAATAAAGTAGATTTTTAATTTGGCTGTAAATATTTATTACAGACAATAATGCCTTTATTGCTTCAAAAACGGCAGCTGCAGGCCTGACGATCGAAAGCGTGACCCGCATTCGCACAAACATTTGCAGTAGTCCAACTATAGTGTCTGTTCTAATCCGAAATTGAAATTAAATGCAACCAGCATATTCCACGTCTCCTGCACGCCATAAAGTAGTAAAGCAACCCTAAAGGAACCCGGCGACCAACAAACGAGCTATTGCTACCAGAACCCCCACTCCCTATCACTGCTTACGAGTCGTGTGTGAGAAGCTGAGAGACACCTTTAAGCTGTGGCCAACTGAATGTCAAGCGTGAGAAAGTGCAAAAAACAGAGAAAGTGAAATCTTGACTAATTATTATGCACTCAACTGGTAGCAGTTCCCATAAACACGACCAGTCTCTGCTCGAATTTCCCCTTAAGGACGCCGGTGGTGGCCATCGCCCCGCGTTAGACACATACTCGTACGAATACCAGCATATCGGCACAACATTTCCATTCGAATTCACATCTTGAACCCTCAATTGTTATGACCCAAGGGCACGCAAACGGGCACGCCTGCGTTCTGGGTGCCGGGTATTGTCATGCGAAAGTATTTTTCAATTGTTGAGCGGAACGTGGGGCGCGTATTTATGGTGGTGGTGGTTGTGGTGGTGCTACTGCTGGCGGTGCTACTGGTGGTGGTGGTTTTCTTACAACCTATAAATACAGAGCCCGATCGACATAACATCACAGTCTTCAATTGCATTTGTCAGAGTAGAGACGAAGTTAAGCACCAGCAAGACGAAGAGGCTCTTGGGCGACAGCCAACATGTTTGGCGGCTTGCAATCCTCAAAAAGTGCAAGTGAACCAAATCATTTGGAAATACATATATCAGAAAGAAGAAGCGGATTTTGTAAGTATGCGAAGCACTAACATCACAATTTGGAAAATATATATAACTTGAATTCGGTGTTTACAGCAAGCGTGGACCCCGTTAACCACCGATAACGACTTCGGCTTACAGCTTCCGTAAGCGGATCACCATCGATGGCATCAGCTTTATAGAAACCTTTTTACACTTTCAATTATTAAGGAGCTATATCCACACAAAAAAACTGCTTCGCGCCTGCGTCGGCTCAAAAAAAAAAATGATCAAATGTGATTTATAGTGGGAGATCGACTTGGCGCGTGCAAACCGAATGCTGTTGATGACGTCATCCTTAGGCAACATTTCTCACTTCCAACAATTTCAAGAGCTGCTTTACCACCTTCGCTAGCTCAAAGGAAAGTAATTAAATGTGAATTATCCACTATATTAACATTATCCTCCGACTTCCACGTTACATGCAGACAGAGTTTCGTTTTCCGTGCCTTTTCGTTTAATTGCAAATATTTTTGTTGTTGTCTTTTGAAGCTAAAAATTTGTTGGTCTAACAATATTCTTGTTGAAAGTTTCCACTACAAGTAAAAAATCTATGAATTGTGAAATTTTCATCGATGTATATTGCCAATAGCGGGCGTGTTTTTGTTATAACTATGTTTGTGCTTTCCGTTTAGGTTTTCATTTAACATTTTTTTTGCATTTATTTATTTTTTATTTGTGTCGCTTACAAATTTTATTTTGGTAAGTTTCAAGCCTCTTTTTCACGTTTTTAAAAATCTTTTCTTTCGTTTAATTTGGATTACAATTTTCATTTTTAAATTTGTTTTTAATAGTATTTAAAATTATTTCAAATTATATTTTAATTTTAAAGTTTTTATTAGTTTTTACAAATTTTATGTATAATATTCTTTTTAGCTCAATTTTTTTTAATCATTACTTTTATATTTCTTTTTTCTGTTTTTTTATTTTATAGGAAATATCATTTATGATCAACATTTTCTTCATTTTTAATTTTTCAAAGATTTTTCAGTTAAGAAAGGATTCTTTAATTTCTTTCCATTTTTTTCTGAAGCGGTAAGTTCATATATTTATTTAATTGACTTTGATTTTGTTATAAAATTATTAATTTGTCATTTAGTTAATATACCTTCAGTTTGTATATTTTGTATATTTAGTTTATTATTTTGAAATTAATATTATTTTATTTCCATAAATATTCAGTTGAAGTCCTTTTATCTTTTAGTTTAATTAAGCTTTTTCTAATTTCGTTTCTGCAATTATTTTTGTTTTTCCCAGTTTATTTTTTTCGATTTTTTTTTTTTAATTTGTCTTCCATTTAATTTTATTGTTTTTTCATTATTATCATTATCATTCATTATTTCATTATTACTTTTTTGGGTTTAAATATTATTTTTATTATTTTTATTTTGCTTATGTATTGCTATTATTATTTTCTTTACTTTCCTTTATGAGACACCAGACTTTAGTTTTTCATTTATTATTATATATTAAGTTTTTGCAATTTTTGTTTTGTTTCGCTTTCAAAAAAGGAGAAATATATTCCCGTATGTTATAAGATAAATTGAATAAAAACTGTACTTGCAATATAAAACAATGCCTTTTTCCAATACATAGGAGGGAGGGGAGAGGTTTGAGGATCCTTTGAATTGTTTATTGAGCAAAATGATGGCTGAACCAAAATTTCGGCTTGCCACTCACACATAAATAATTATGTTGCATTATCTTAGCAATTACACATAAATACAATACAGTTATGTAGGTATGTACTTTACTTTACACCTAGAGTCAAAAGCGTGCTACCACACTCGGCCAGCTGCCACATCCGCGTCACTGCATCGCGTTTTGTGGCTCCTTGGCGTTGCTCTCGCCACTAGCAGCAGGCGCCGTTTGGGCCGCAGCCGCGGGCATGGCGGCACCACCAACACCACCACCTCCACCACCAGCCACATTAGCGGCTTCGTTCTGACCCTCTGGGACGGCGTTGCTGTCCCGGTCGAAGAGATAGCTGCCGCCTATAGGACGGGGTCGGCCACCGTAGGAAGAGCTAAAAGGGCCGAGAAGAGAGCAAGCCTTTTCTTAATGAGTTTATCAATTCCATGTGGCATCGGGTGCTGGGGATAACTAAGGTGTTCGATTATTCAAAACAAGTGCAGCAATGCTTGATTCAAAAACTACATAGTTGGAGTGGCATGGCGTGTCCTTCGGCGGCCGCAACACACACTGCAACTTACCTCTGCTGATTACGCTCTCTGTCCCTGCCATCATCCCTAATGCCCCCACTGCCGCTTCCGCTGCCGCCACCGTTACCACCGCGCGAGTTCTGTTTGTCCTGGTCGTTGAGGTAGGTCCAGGTACCTTGCCCATTGGGCTGCTTGCCATCAGCGGTCTGGCCCATGACACTGGTGTGGCCTCCGCCACGGGAGCTATCATTTCCTATGGCGGCTGAAGAGACTTTTGTGCCACGATCCCCCTGACCGGAGCCGAAGCTCGAGCCGCCGGCATAGGGACAATTTCTGACTAGGTGACCGCAGGGCGAGGGAGATGCGGACGCAGATGACTGAGCGCGTTCCCGATCGTAGGGCGGGGCGTAGCCGCGATTATCGTCATCGCTGGCAAAGTAATAGCCACGCCCAGAGTTGTCAAAGCCGGATTGTCCTCTAACGGGATGTCGTAGAGGACACGTGGGTGCGAAAATTGTGCATGAGTGCAGTCGCAGAAACGGGTTTTTGCAGAAGTGAAGAAAAGAGTTCGGTAAGTGGGTGAGTTGGTGGGTGCATTAAGTTCCAATTAGTTTCGTAGAGAATCCGGAGTAGTAGTTGTTTTTGTTGTTGTATTTGTTGTTGTTGTTGTTGTTGTGGCAGTGTTCAATGTATTTACAGTGGCGTATTGTAGGCGTTGTTTTTGTAGTTGTAGTTGTTTTTATTGTAGATTGTGTTGTATTGGTGTTGTTGTATGTAAGTAGAGAGAAGGCGAGAAGTATTTTACAAACACATAGAAAACTGTACAAAATCGAGAAGACATGGTAGCGATACCTGTAGGTCTCATCCCATGGACGATAGTTGCGAAAATCATACCTTGAATAGTAGCGATCGTGCCCACTGTAGCGAGGCCGATCGTAATAGCGATCTGAAACAAAGCCAAGAAGAAGAAATTAAGCAAGCCATCTCTCAAAAGCCCCACGCAAGCTCTACACACCCCCGCCACGACTATCACTATACCGATCGGTGTAATAGCGATCTCTATTATCGTAGCCATAGCCGCGATCCCGATCGTAGCTGCCTCCCCGTTCATAGCTGCCTCCACGTCTGTAGTCATCGTATCCACGTCCCTCGTAGCGATCGTAGCTGCGTGAGCCATAACGATCCTCAGGATAGAAATAGCTATCCCGGTAGTAGTCCCGATCTCTGCTGCTGCCCCGATCCTCGTATCTGTCGTAGCTCGCGCTGGGATAATACCAAGATCCACGTCCCTCGTCGCCCGACCGACTCGAGTAGCCGCCATAACGATCCCCTCCACTACTACTGCCATAGTAGCGATCCTCGTAGCAGCGCACACAGCGCGACTGCCGACTCTTGCCTCCCCTCAAAACAGTGTCCAGCATTCCAACGCTCGTCGGCGCTTTGCTCGCCCCCGCACTTGCTGACGATCCCGTGACCGCATCCACATGCCCATGATGCCAAGCAAAGGCCAGGCAGAGCAGCTGAAATGAAATTAGTCGACAGTGTGAGCGTTTCGCCATTAAATTAAGACTATTATTTTCCAGAATCGTGGCAGCATTTTTATTACTACAAGTATATAAGCACTTCATGAACCCATATACTATAAGTAGTTGTCTGTCTGTTTGAATATATTTTGCAAGAAAACCCACAATAAGATTTTAATATTGTTTACTTAGAATAACTGTCTGACTAGATCTAGAAAGTATCTCAGATACTGAAAAGAAGAAGCTTTGCGAAGAGAAAACTTTATAAGTTCCATTAAAAAAGGATTATGGATTTGAAATGGAGATTCTTGCTCCATTCCTGTGCTGTTCGAGAAATAACTTTACAGATTAAACTCTCAAGACCTTAGAAAAGCATAGCAATACTAACTGCGGCGTTTTTGTTGAATATGTAAATTGTATTGTCGTTAATACTTGTAGATTGGAGCAGTCTCATATTGCTTTTGGCAATCTAGAATGGTGCCCTGCAAGTGCTAGAAAGTCGAAAATCCCCCATATGTCTCACTTAGTTTGGGCTACAAAATTACGCCTAAAGTTGGATTAACTGCTCTGCTGAAAATCGAAATGGCCATCCCGCCACAAATTGCGACCAATACCTACATATTTTACAGTCGAGCGATCAACTGGGCCACTCACACACACACAAACACACAGACACAGATACAAACACACACACACACATTGTACAGCCTCCAATCATAATTGACGAAAGTACAAAAGGCAAATGCATGCTTTCTGTGCAAATCATCAGCCTCGTATCTATCATCAGCATCGTAAACATCATCATCATCATCATTACCATCATCATCATCATCATTAAATGGCGCACTGCTGGACAGGCCCTGACGACACGATGGCCAAATCAGCGAGCGTGAAATATGATCAACGTTGCCGCATAATTGTTCTGCCTTTCGATTATGTAATAATGGAGCATACATAGATTGGGTCTCAAATGGCGACAACACCTCGGCTCCAGTCCATTGAGGTGGGTTTTTGTCATATATAGTACTGTATGTACTCGTTATAATAAGTATATACTTGTAGATATTTATGCATAAAGTAGCATTGACATCATTTTTTGTCGCGGCAGCACCCGCCAGCCGGACACGAATTCGTTTGTTTGTTTGTTTGTTTTGGTTTTCATTGATGGGGCTTTGGCCAAATTGGCCAGCACTAACCACTTGACTGTGGTCTGGCTTCGAATCATAACGCGCGCACTATGGAACGCAGCCACGTTTCAAAAATAGAGTCCAAAGAGTTAATCATGAAAAATTTGTGAGCTCGCCACGCTTTGTTAGTCAAGCATCAGGAACAACTTCCGCTCGCTCGCTCGCTCGCTCGCCGGCTGGCTGCCTGGCTGGCTGGCTGGCTCGATCTGTTGCTCGAACACGGACGATTCTATTTGCATGTGTGTGGGTGTGAGTGTGAGTGTGTGTGTTGTCGCTTTCAGTACTACAAGTATGTATGTGCATACATATGTGTGGTCACTTACTTCATTAGAATAATTATTTTCCGAAAATTGTTTTATATGGCAGCAAATGTATCGTATGCTTGGGACAAGGGTCGTTGCCATTGAACACGCTTCGAAATTATCATTTATCATTTTTCTTTCCTGGTTGTAATCATGGGGGTTTTTTTAAGCAATTATCCAAACACAAATCAAAAAGAGTTTCAATTTAGTTACAATAAAATACAAGAATCAAAAGGCATCTACTTGTACTACTACTGAGAGTGATTTTTCCAACGTTCGTTTTTATATGATATATAGTAGAGCATCGATTTTAATTAAACTTTGCACTGCCATAGACCATTATATAAAATTAAGAATTATCAGAATTGAATCAGAAGGTAGATCGGTTCTGCCGATCACTGCTATGGCGGTTATATGATTTTGCCCACTGATTTCAATAATCATTTGAATTGTAATGAGGCATGAACTGAGAAACAAACAAGATGCTGTACCAAGATTTCTTTTAGCATTGAACGTTCCTATGGCAACTATGTGATAAGTAAACCAATTGGAATAAACTTCAGAAAGTGAGTAAACCAATTTGGATCAAACTTCAGAGCATTATCAGGCAATATAAATTTTGTTCAAACAAGAAGTTGTCGTACTAAGATTGATTTTTAAGCCGATCGGTCCATTGTTGTCTATTTAAAATAATTACTATTACTTGTAATAGACCTGCTTATGGATAACAAAAGTCTGTCTCTACAAGTAAATCATTCATAGGGAAGTACAGTCGGTCAGGGGTTTTATCTACTAGTTTCCTTCAGCTAATCATAAGTGTACCTATAAAATAGGTCTTGTTACGCCATCTTCGGGTATATTATCCAAAAAATATTGTTAAAGCCTCCAAGGATGATAACCTAAATTTTATTACTATTTGTATCGGATCGGAAGAGTTTTAATGAAGGATATTTTAAACAGGAACATTGGTTCCGCATCCTCAACGTAACGTTCGTATTCCACGCTTTTCGAGAAAATAATAATTAAAGGCTATGGAAAATGTAAAATTTTATAATGGAATGTTTTCGTTTTTTTAAATTTAAGATGGCAAGGTCGGGCAAACATTGCGTGTCGGTTTTATTTTAAATTAAAGGTAAAAAAAATTCAAATTTCAAACCAAATCTATAGAATTTGTTGGTTGACGTCTTGCTTTAATACTAAATAATACCGGATTAAGATAGCCAAAATGGAAAATAATTTGAAATATTAACTGCAATACTTCACTTTTATAGAGCCGAAACCCAAATATTTTATCAACACATTGTAAATATATTAATGTTTAAGTCTCTGGACAACTTCTCAATTACACAAAGACTAAAGTAGTTTAACTTTGTAGGATTATTATTGTTGCCATATTCTATATTTAAAATGGATTTTAGGTTCAAGGAAATGAGGACAAATAACTGGTAGTAGTAGTCTAAAGTAGTAGTCTAAGGTAGAATGGAAGTTGAAGAAGTATGAAACTACAAGTATATTGTTTAAGTGTTGCTGTCCATTGGGAATAAATGAGAAGTTAAAACTCAGAACTTAAAACCATGTCGATTCAATTATGGTCCTATGTTCTTCTATGCGTTGCTTACAACTGATCGGTATTTATTTATTTTAGATTCACAATTCTTTAATCAACGTCTATCGGCAAAATAGGAGTTGTTTTTTAAATTTAATCGAGTAAGGGTTTTCACAAATGTTGCTTTAGCACTGAACTATCCTTATGTTACATCTAGTACTTATTTATTTTGTAAGCCTCACTCACCAGCTGCAGTTTGTACATTTCTCAATAGTCTTTCTTCCACGTATGCCAAGTAATTGTTTTGGGCACGCGCCGTGTGCCTCCGAAATTCCACCAAATCCAATAAAATGGAATCACAGTCCGCACAATCCACACAATCCTGTCGAACTTCTACTTGTACACCGATAAACGAGATTACTTTTCTATTGTAGCGATTGCTTTGGAATCCGAGTAACGAATGCGCAGCTCGGCCCGTCAGCACAGATATTTATTTCAAAAACAATAACAAAGAAGCGCCAAGCTCGTTGGAGCTATTTCGCGCTCACGTTTTCAGAACTCCAACCCAAAACCCAAAGCCCAAAGCCCAGAGCCCAAACCCACATACCGCAGAGAGAGGCACTGAAGCGCGAGATTGTGGCGGCGGAGTCTAAGGCTGACCGTCGCGTCGGGGTACTCTAGCATGGCCTAATAATATACAAAAATTCGGGCTTGATGCTCAAAATAATTTGGTATGCGTGGGTGGGGTGTTGGTGTTGGTGTCGGTGTCGGTGTTGTTGTTGGTGTTGGTGTTGGAAGGCGTCGATTTGTCACTTCACCTGCAACACCTGGGCTGTCCAACCCGTCTGTCTACCTGTCTAACTGCTGAAGCTTTCATGGTCAGTTTCGCAGAACGACGGGAGGATGTGCCCGAAAACCTGTCATTATTCGGGGGCTGAGTTCCATTTACTTTATTTTCAGACAATCGAGCTAATCCAACGCCCAGATTTTTGATTGCGTAATAATCCGCAGCACTCCTTTAAGACTGCGGATATCTGTAGAAGTGTTGGCAAGATTTTGCACAATTAGCAAATGACTCAAGCAGAGGCCCGCCGCCATATCCATCTGTCTTGGTGGCATTCGAAGGCGTGAAATTATCTTTTGTAATTGTGCTGAAACGAAGCATATGAAAACCGATGACAACGACGATATGGAATATATACTATATAGCATATGCTATATGCGATATGCGGCGCTTACCCAATCCACGACCGTGACCATGAAAAGGGTTTAAAGTGTAGCACAAGCTTTACGCTAGACTGCCAAGCTCCTGACCTGTCAAGCACGCAGGTGTTGGCTGCCAGCATCTTTGCATTTGGCTTGCGGCTTGGGCAGCTTGTTCGCTGAACCTCAATGGCGGAGGTCGTTGGCATCGTGTAATGGCGACAGGTTTAATTAAACAATTTAATTTTGTTTTTACAATTTTTTAATGTTGTTGTATTTTTATTACTATGTCGTACAATATACTATATTTGCAAAATTTCTGGCTAAGTGTAGTGGAGATTGCATCTATTACGCTTCATGGAAGAACGATTTGTCATACAAGTATCTACGTATGCTCAAGACTCAAGTACGGCGAAACGAATACGAATACGACTACGATAAGTACACTACTTGGTTAGTTTAAACTCTTCAACGATTGGCTAAGTACAGATTATTGTCAGTGTGTTAGTATAGTTGCAGTTCATTGGAGCTTTGCCTTGGGGAGCAAGCAGAGGCCGATGGCAAGTATCACGAGCCCACAGAAGTGGGAGGAGTGCCTCCAGCGATGCTCAAATTGCTGCTGATATTGGCAGTGCCTGCTGCCGCAATCTCGTCCCGAAAGGCCAGGAAGCCGAGCTGCGCATGCGAGGCCTCGTTGAGGGCCCGGGAACGTATACACGCCCGATACTGATCCGTGCTGAGCACACCATCGCCTTGGCCGGCACTGGAACTGGTACATATCTGCCGCATAGACTGCATTAATAGACTTCTCCTTTGATCCATCTCTGACTCCGACTTACCTTTGGATGCCAGCGATGGAAGATGCCCGGATCGGTAGCGCGTATGATTTTGATTTTGGAACGCACATATTTCCGATACAGCATTACATCCTCGCCTCCCCAGCCCACCAGCTCCTCGTCGAAACCGCGTATCTGCAGAAAATCAGAGCGATACTGGCAGGTCATGCCGTAGCCAAAGTCCCGCCAGAAGCCCGTGTCTCGAGATATCACCAGCTGGTCGTCCTCACTGGGCAGGGACTTTCCCTGCAGCGTATAAACCACGTGCGGATTGTACAGGCTGAAGACGACGGGATAGTAGACCTGCAAGCGAATTAAGATTAGCCGATCTCTTGGCCTACACAATTTTGTATCAACATACCTTCTTTCCCGGATCGGCATTCCAGCGACAACGTTCGAGAAACTTTGGCGTGAAAACGATGTCCACATCGCACATGAAGAGCAACGCATCATTGGGAATTTGGCTAGTTGGTCCGGCAGTGGCTGCGACTGGGGGCTTTATGTGCTCGGCACCTACGCGCAGGGCTTTAGCTGCAAAGGAACACAAATGAGTGGGGGGATGGATAGATGGATGGATGGTCGCACCTCTGCTGAAGGTCTCGTTTAAGGCCACGAGTCGTCCATGCTTGGCATGCAGCTTGGCCTTGTCGAGCGTGCGCGTCAGTATGTGGCGTGCTTCCAGCAGACCACTCTCTCCGAAGTAGACGACGGCCAGGCGGATACGACGATCCCTTTTCGCCACCTGCACAAACATCTGCATAAAGCTATGGAAGGTGCTTAGCCGTCCGGCCAGTGGCAGTATCACATTTATGGTGCTGGCGGTAGCGGTGGAGTCGCTACCGATCTCCGACAGCTTCACCGTCTGCAGTGGCGCAAAGGGACGCATTATGAGTGCTTTGCGCACCACACTGTTGGCCTGCTTCGCACTTTGGAAGTACAACTCGTATTGGGTGCCTGTTGTGGGCTCGGTTCGGTAGATGCCCTCGATGAAGTCGTCCAGCGCGAATTTGCCGCTGACCTCCGACGCTGTGGCTGCTGCCTTTCCACGCATGCGAGCCGTGTGATTGCGATTAAGGCTTTCGAGCGCTTTGTTTACCGCCCCAAGCAAGTCCCGTCGTCGGTAGCCAATGGGCTTCTCCACCACCCGCTTGCCCAGACCCAGATCAAAGGGGTAGACGCGTGTGAAGGTAAAGTGATTGTAGGGTATTAGCTCATACTCGTTGTTCAATGGCAGGCCGTGCAGAATCTCCGCTGCGCCCACTTGCTTCCGTATATAGCTGCTGCAGTCGTAGTGATGGGAAAGCGGCGGACTGGCACTCGGCGACTCCACTGGCCCGCTATTGTTGTTGTGTAGGGTTGGAAGCTTGCTGTTGTTCTTCTGCAGCAGGACTATCTGAGCGCGCAATGTAAGCACTTCATGCTTGAGGCGTTCGATTTCCGCATCGCGTTCGCTAAGCAGGTAAACATAGCCGACACTGGCGTCCCCCTCACCGATGGAGGCGCCCGTTTGTTTATCGTAGATCTGGGCATTCAACTCCTGAAAGCCACATTTCGTCAACAGGAATATGGAGGCCACAGTGACCAAAGCAAAGAGCACCAAAAGCCGCACCAGCAACTTGGACACTAGAGAATTATGCATTTTCCATGCTTCCTTGGACAGCTAATTTTTTACAGTTCCTATTTATCCTAATTTCAGTAACAAATGTAATAGAATTTAAAAAAGTTTGATAAATGTAATTCATTCAGAAATATTAAAAATACGCTAAGATAAAAAAAAAACAGTCTTAACAAATACCCTTAAATAATAAATTATTCATGCATACTATACGTAAAAATATGCTTTTTAAGGGCGTGTGAATTTGTTTTATTTGAGAAATAAGCAATATGTGAATTATCAGAGGATTATATACAAAAGGAATACTAGACTCACAATTTTGTACAAACTTATTCCCTAATTATTCACGATATATTTTTCAACTTCCACAACGGCATATAATGTCTCATTCAATTCTTTTTTTAATATAATTATCAGCGGCAATTATTAAACAGTAATTGGACCGTTACTTAATATTTGAAAGCAGGGTTTCGTTGCGAGCAGCTTTTGTTAAGCAACCGGACGTTCACAGAAAAATACCAGACTGTTAGAAATAAAATACTCACGATGTAAACAAAGCTACAGCGTTACCATACCGTTATCGTATAAGTCTGATTGGCAGCATTAAATGCAGTTCGAATATTAAGTACACACTGGCACACGCACACAAAAGAGTATTTCTCATCGTAATTTTCACTCGATCGTCGGCATACTTTTCATTTCCAATCAAATATTTACACATTTTATAATATTGCAGTATTAACGCACAATCGAAACCATACGCGATAGAGGTAAGTGCAATACGATAACAAAAATAAGGCAAAATGCAAGCAAGGTGCTCGGCAAGCTGTTGCTTGCGCATGCAACAAGTTTTTTTGCGTTAAAGAAGATTCCCCTTCAACCCGCTTGTTCACATGCATATGTTCATATTTGTGCGTGTGTGCGTGTTTTTGCCTATTCTATAGAGAGAGCAAACAACTAAATAGCTTGGTTGTCAGTGAAATGATTCATGCCGATGCCGAGGCCGATGGTGTTTATGGCAAAGATAGCATGTTGTACTTGTACTTTTGGTCGGCTTTCGTGAAATTTAGGCGTAGTTGGCCCTTGTATCTGTGTGTGCGTGTGCTTTAAATACGATTGAGAATAAAGCAGATCCAAACAATGCGATTTACTACATAGATTTTATAAATGTACATATACATACATATATAAAAAACAAAGCATTTTCTTCATTCTTTTCTTCCAGAGCCTCTTCGAAAGACTAGAACGCAAAAACTTTCCAGGTTTCAAAGTCTACAAAGATAAAGATGGAGAACAACGAGGTACCTGCCCCATCCGGATCAAATGAGTAAGTTGGAATGCGTTTAAACTGCATCTGTAATTCAGACGCGTCATAATCGCAACACAAGCCACAAAGCAACTGCAGGACGTGACGACAGCAATTACAATTAATTCAAGTGAACCGTTGAACATTCATACCATATACGATTAACCAATCACAAAGCTGCATTTGTATTTGTGTGCGTATGTGTGTGCGTGCGTGTGTACGCGTGCTTTTGCCGATGATTAGCCACCCACACATATAATATTGTACAGTTTTCCCATACTCCCGCCACCGCCCAACTCCAACACGAACTCCAACAATCCCTACTCCTACTCCAACTCCAGCAACAATAACCAGCAGAACAATGCCGCCCAGAAGCGTCTGCAACAAACGCAAGCCAAGGTGGACGAAGTGGTTGGTATAATGCGTGTCAATGTCGAGAAGGTGCTGGAACGGGACCAGAAACTGTCAGAGCTGGGCGAACGGGCCGATCAATTGGAGCAGGGCGCCTCACAGTTCGAACAGCAGGCGGGCAAGCTGAAACGCAAGCAATGGTGGGCCAACATGAAAATGATGATTATTCTGGGAGTGATTGCCGTCGTATTGCTCATTATCATAATATGTAAGTCTGACAACGATTCTAATTTAAGGTTTTGGTGTGTGAATATCATAGACTTAGTCGTGGATGTGGGCTCTAGCGTTATAATTACGTACACATACTATATATGCATTTATTCCTATCGCCATAGCGGTCAGTCGCAGAAAAGCGATAAGAATCAAAACGCACCTAACGCCCTTTTATTTTCTAACTTTTGTGGTTTGGTTTGGTTTTGGCAACTAACATACTATATGCATGTTATAAGGCATTAGGCACTACTTTTTGCCATTTTGCCGGCCAGCCCCCACTGATGCGAACTTTTATTTTACTTGCAGTGTCGTTTTTCTATTGAAACAATTCGAACGCTAAATATGCTTGCCGTACTCAAAACAGCCCTAATGAGTCGCAATGCTTAAATCTACATATCATATCGTCTTGTATGATATCTTATAGTCTAAGAAACGCCAATATTCTAAAGGTAAACGCAACGTCTTAATTAGCATAGCAATCTAGCCGAATAGTGTAGAATCATCACATTTTGGAATTAGCGCAAAAGAAAAGAGATCAATGAAGTGATTAGGGAATATGTATCGCGCCTGATCTGTTTGACTTCGTTATTGCGAAATTATTTCAGCATTTGAAACATCAGAAAAAAAAACTGTGTGTCTTATTTTTCTAATAACTTGCACTTCTAATTGATTATTTGTTTGCATTTCAGTTTCCTTTTTGCCAGCGGGCAGCACCAGCAGCAGTGACGGTTCCCGCGCTATTACCGAGGCGCCGAAAGGAAACTAAAGTAAACTAAATGGACCACCTTCTTTCTAAATAATGTTGCCTTCCGTATTTGGCCTATGCGCAGAAAATGTTTCTACAATTACTTTACATACAACAAAGCATAACAAGAAATGTATAATTATAAAAAGCCCTCTAATGTTAATCAAACTTTTTCACGTATTGTATAAAATTAAATCACACATTCTAATTGTTATGAAACGGCAGTATGTTGTATGTATGTATGTACAGAACTCTATTTACATGGTGTATTTGAAATGTAGAGGTATAACGCACAAACACACACACACGCACACATATTGTAAAGAGAATGCATAAAGAAATGTAATTTCAATTCTTAACTCTTGTAGTTTGTTGGCTGCTGTCTACTGCATTCAAAATTCAAATGAAAACGATAGTATATACTACATATACATACATACAAACATATACATATATTCTATATATAGAAATAATCGTGCAAATGTATTTTATACATTATAAATATGTAAATGGCTTGTAATTGTAATACATACAGCTATTATAGAACATACGTTTGTCAAACGCAGTCCCACACATTTTTTTATACAACTTTTCACTGTTTTTGCCATTTATTTACATGCACAATTTGCCAAAAAGCAAGAAAATTTTTATTGATTTTCAGCGAGCAGTCCACGACACAATTCCGACTCCGTAAATGTTGCCGTTCCGCTTTCGTCGCGTGTAGAGCGTGGCACGCTTACGAACCAACTGTTTGAAAACTGCTGCGACTGCGGCTGCTGCTTCTGTCTTTGTGGCTGTAGTTGGAGACTACCACTACGAGTGGGAGTGGGTTGGGTGTGTGACGTAACGAAGCCTGCAGGACGTATCTGTACTTGTGCTTGTGCTTGTATGACATGTAAATAGATGGCCCAGTGGAGATGTAAACAGTGTCGTCTTGTTGTGGTTGTTGGGTGTCAATTCCTTGGCAGCTGAGCTGGGCTCGCACAGCTGATTCGGTTCCGGCGCCTGCGCCCTACAAACAGACGAAGATGATGACAACACTGTACGGCTATTCCTCCTCGGTCACCGCCGGCTCCTTCGGCCTTTTCAAGTCCTGATACCAGTCCAGTCCGGCAGCCATTGTCCACACATAGCCCATGTATAACGCATAGAAGTTCAAATAATACAGCTGTCCAATCAATATGAAATCGCCCGGCGACTCGTCATGATAGAAGTCGGGCTTCCGCATCGACGCAGCAAATATCACCACAAACTGAAAATTATTACTATCATGGAGTGAACACGACTTCACATTCTTAGCTCTTCTCACTTACCACATTCGACACCATCGTGTAGATGAAAAGCGTGGGAAACTCAATGCTGGCGCGTTTCATTTCGGAGCAGACAATAATGCCGAAGCTCGTCAGCACAAATATCCTTTCGCTCCAGCGTATAACATTGTGGCGGGTTAGCTGCAAAACAAAAATCTTACTCTTTTGCCGCTAAACACTAAACAAAATTCCACAAATCTAAATCCAAGCAGTCATTGCTCACTTTGAATTCAATTAATGTTCTACTATAGTGCAGTAGCTTTTTAATTAAAATATATTAATAATAATGAATTATTCCTGCAACCAGGGAATATATCGGAACCAGCCGAATCGGTGCACTCTATCGTTTATCTGATCCCACTATAATAGCTGTCAAAATATAGATCTGGGAACAGATCAGACTACTATATCACATAGGTGACATAAAAAACGTCTGGGAATTGCAGGAAAAAACTTTTGGTTTTTGGAAGATATAAGATCTTATTTGGATACGTGAGGAGAGTTTATTGCTATACCTAAAGATGTTGAAAAGTTTGACTGAGATTGGACCATTCTTATATAGTTTTTATAGAACGAAACTTTTTTAAGAGTCTTTGCATAACAAACATTTACCATTTAAAAGATATTCTATCAACATATTATAATGGGAGGATGGATTTTTGATATACTCAATGACGTTGTAAGGTTACATTCGGATTTGTGAAACATTTCATTCTATAAAAAAATTATTCTATTCAAAAGGGGTGGGAAGTAATGCCCAATTAGTCACGTGTGATGTGGGAGGGAAGTAAACTTACGAATAGACCACGCTTATGAGGCACAGCCAGATTTCCATAGCAAATACTGAGGCCCATGATGACGAAAGTCATAATCCAAGACAACCCCAAGCACTCGTTTGGGGCCTTCTTAGCGGGTTTCATAATTGAGATGGTATTGGACTCGAACTGAAGGTATTTAGAGTGATTAGGCATTAGATCTTGAATAGTAGCTCCTTCACTTACCGTCCACAAGCCACACACAATTCGTACCCAAAGCGCCTTCTGCTCCAGTATGTGATAAAAAAAAACGTATAGCTGTATCGAAATGAAGCTTATGAAAAATTGCATAAGGCTGACATAGTAATAGTCCCTGAGAAACTTCTTGAGAGCTTCGCTGTGTTTGTGGTGGATGGGGGGAATTGGAACCATTTAGTAGGCGTAGGGCGGGAATTGGTGAGGAGTCAGAAGCTTACAATTGCATCGCAAGAATCACTTGAGCCTGGCCTACCAGCAACATGAGGACCGTCACAAAATATGTCTTACAGAGGAATCTGTGCTTTGTACTGCCCTCATTTTCGGTCTCACGTGGCATCTTATCGCACCTTTGGGTTTACTCAAGTAATTTAAATCAAATAGTATATGTAAAAATGTTGTTTTACAAAAAAACGAATGTTCACTGGGATCCTTAAAATTTGTTAAAGGTCTATCTAGACTTTCCAATATAATGAAGCCGATTTATACTGAGCCCTTAAAAATTCCCAAACCCCATGGATTTATTCGCTTAATGAATCGAAAAGAGGCATCAAACATTTAATTCGTTGAAAGTATCTGACCCATATTATGCAGCAGCGATTGTTTCGCATCATTGCACATATATTTGCATTTTGGAAAATAGATGTTTGAGATATTGTCCTGTTGAAGAAGAATACAAAAGAAATAAACCAGCAGGTTCCACTTAGTCTCCCAAATACACCTCCATCCTATGATGATAATGATGATAAGCTTGTCACGTCAAGCTTGCTTTGAACAATTTTTGTTCATGTTTTTTTAACAACACGAAATAATTTTTTAAGTCGCATTTATACGTTCTGGTGGTGTCCACTTAGTAAGGACACCGCAATCAAATTTCTAGTGTACTCGTATGCATCGGCAAACCCGGAAACACTCACTCACAGCAAAAGAGCAGGGCGCCCGACACTCGGTGGAGGTCCATGGAGGAGCGGAGACGCCGGCTGAGGGCGTACAGGCGAGCGCGTCGAAAGTTTGCCTGCATAGTCTACCTGCTAACCCTTGTGTGGATGCTATTGGCGCTAATCCAATTCCTGCTGGTATCGCTCGTGTAAGTGCCGGGTCTATACGGCCTTATGCTAGAATGTGCTTGCTAACGCCCGATCTCTAACTCTAACACCCAGTGAGCCGGTCAAATCGTTATTTGTAAAACACTATTGGATCAGCATTATATTTTTTGTCCTTGCCATAATATTGGTCACCATTTTCATATTCTTTGAGAGGGTGCGTTTTATGACGGGTCTCAATTGGTTTATGACCATACTCATAGTGAGTGACTTATACCTAACTATATATTAATAATATCTTCAATACGACCCCGACCCATCGGCCAGCTTCAAAGCCGCCACAAAGTCACATACATGGGTCGGGGAACGTAATCGTCAAAATTGATTTATTTTCCACTCTCCGCACAGGTCGAATTCATAATAATTGGCGTGTTTGCCTTGGTGGCCCTCACTCTGTGGCCGGACATGCTGCTCTTTTTTGCCATTTGCGTCCTGCTCATATTTCTATTCATACTTCTCGGCTCCATAATACCGGTAAGTCAGTTCGGCTGGACTATGAAATATAGTTTCACACAATTCGACAATGCGGTCAATTCGTGTCAATGAATTTGCACGAGACTCGTTCAAACGGTTCCTAGACATTGGAGACTATATAGCTATATATATTCCACAGCATGATCTTACTCTGGACGTGGTTATACTCTTTGTGCTGGCCTTCATATTCCTCATAGTGACGGTCTTCTTCATCATGCTGTACGTGGTGGCCTCTGTACCATATTCGTTTATTGTCTACCATATATTCATCTCCATTATTGTTCTGCTGGTATGTTGCTTCCACTTCCCCGAATATTCCCTCTTACTACAAAAAATATTCTGATTTCAGTTTGTAATGTACCATGCACAGACAATCAATGGGGGGCGGTTTGCAGAAATGCGACTCAATGACTTTCTATTGGCATCGCTAATTCTTTTTCACGACTTCATAATCATATATCTTCTGACATTTTATGTACAAATCATATACAAGATTGCCTCGCCGGAATGGTTGATAAATGAAAGCAAATCAACAACCAAAGGTCCACAAAAAACTACCGCCGACGATGACTCTGACGACCTTCCTACTGAACCTTCTGAAGAGGGAAGTGGTGAAGGCGAACCACCAGGCGAAGATGGAGAGGGTAGTGGTGGTCCTGAGGCACCGCCTGAAGGAGAAGGGCCTGAGGAGACAGCTACTACTGAGGAAGGCAATGAGAATACTCCAGAAGAACCGACCGGAGATGGTGAAGAGACTCCAGAAACATCAACCGATGCTCCCGATCGTGCGAAAATTTTTTTTTAATTCAAATAAAAAACTATCAAAATTATATAAGGTGGAGAATAAACGCCTTTGGTAAAATCAAAATGTTTCTGATTATTGCGTGGGATACGGCTGCTAGTTAACCCAGTCTTCTATTTCAAGTCAAGTCGTTCCGTCGTACCTCCACCAACTAAATGCTTGTAGGTATTTTTCTAATGTGGACGGTACAATTTTGTTGATTGGTTAAAGCTCGTAGTTGTTTATTTTTGAATCATCTCCGCACAAAGTCCCAGTTTCATTTCGCCTCAATGATCAACTGTATATTGCAAGTAGAATAGAGCTTTGGACAGATGTTTGCTTTATCGAACGAGCTAAGCTCAGTCCTTATCTGTATTATCCTCTTCACGTCTTTGTCCTGAAACGACTCACTAAGAGGAAGGCTCAACCGACTGCGATGCCATACATATTATCCGTGTTGTTGTGTGGGTGGTAGTTGAATCCTTTCTAGAACCGTGATTATTCAAATGGATATAGAAAAAATTGTTTAAGAACTCACTGAATTTTAACCATCTACCATGTCTTTAAATAGAGTTATATTGTTCTGACAGTTCTTGGTGTTTTTCAATAAACGTTTTAGTTGAACATTAGCAAATCTTAATTAAAAAGTAATCAAGCGAAGTGTTACATATCTGCCCCAATTTTCGATAGGGTCGGTCTTTTTACAATTTGTCTTAATCCAGCTACATTAGAGGTCATTTGACAGTCGACAGAGCCAGCATTTTTGGTATCAGTATTTCATTTGCTTAACAGCAATTAGCTGCCTGGTTATGTCAGCGATCGTTGATAGTCAGATGCGACATGCCGTGACCCATTTGTGGATCGTGTAGCTCGACGATAAGATTTAAAGCTGAAACACAGCCATGACCAGAGAGACAGTTCGGAGCACAGCTCGGCGGCTGACCTTGGAGGGATCACCCATGATTCGGATCGAGAGAAAGACAGACGCATTGCTTAACTTTAAACAGCAAAACTTTAATCACACCGAGAATAAACGTGATAGACACTGGAGCCCTGGAGGCATTAGTAACTGCTAGATATTGATACATTAATCTATATAAATATATATAGGTTATATCGGATATATAGTATGCAACTGCTTGAAGATCAACGAGTATTGCTCTGCATGTATATAGTATGTACATGGGGTATTTGTATTTGTAATGATTAGGTACACGAGAGTAAGGTGCGTAGAACTACATAATTACATACAAGTAGATTATTGATTGCACAGCAGTGAATTCTTTCCCTTCAAATATTACATAGGATTACGTAAGTACGTACAGGAATCTGCATAAATCTAGACTAAGAGCTAGTGGTAGTCATCAGAGGGACTCCATCGAAGAAGCAGCTGAGCAAATGGTAGCATCCGAATCACTCCCCACACTCACTGATCCCGCCGCTCTCCCCAATCTGTCCACCTGCGATGGCTGGGATGCAAAGGAGCCCAATAGCGGCGAAGCCATATCATCAGAGGATTGCTCGTTGAAGCTACTGCGACTTGGCGTGGAAAAGCTGAGTTTGCTGCTGGCCGTGGAAGAGGCTGCCGACTGGGAGGATAAATGCTGTAGCAGCAAGCGCTGCTGCTTGGCCTCAAAGTTTCGCAACACCGCTGCCCAATCCACGCTAAGCGGCAAGCGTAAGTCCTCAGAAGCTCCTAGAGGAGGACGGGCTTCATCTGTGGGTGTTGTGAGAGGCGTGGGCATGTGGAATATGCTGTTGGTGAAGGAGCAATTGTCGATGAGGCTGCTGACGGGCTCTAGGAAGCGTTTGCCATGATACATGTCCGTCGTGCTGCAGCTGTGAGTTACGGGTGTTTGAAGACTATCCACGGACAAGGTGACTTCGCGGCTTAGGTTGAAGCTGAGATTGTTCGCTAATGGGGCTGGGTAGAGAGTTATGGGGCGAAAGTGATTGGCGGGCGTCGATACAGAGCTTTGACTGGGACTGGAGTAGAAGTCGGAGACGCGTTGACGGTGACAGAGCTTCATGAGCTCAACGTCTAAATGGAAGACTCGTGGGTTAGCACACTTTAAGCATAGTTGGAGAGAAGCGGGAAAGAGAGAGAGAGAGAGAGAGAGAGCAAATGGTTTTGTGGGGATTGTGTATTTAGCGTCTGGCAATAAAACTAAAAGAGCGACTACGCTACCTGGGCCGCATACCTTCCGCAGATTCCTCCTCCTTGTCCTCGCGTATGCAAGCTTCTTGGGTGTCGTTTCGTCTGACGGCACGCAGCAAGGTGCGTCCATAAGAGTCCACCTGAGTGTCGCTTGTCTCGTTGCTGCTACAGTCGAGGGTAGTCTGCACCACAACATCCATGTGCGAGTCCAGCGAGAACTGCTTTCCGGACATGAGAATGCCGCGCACGCGTCGTCGCATGGACGGCGACTCCTGGTGCTAAACAGAAGATCAAAAGCTGAGCAGTTGACCGCGACCAAGTTGGATGATGGATTAACTTACTGCTATGCGTATGCCCGCATATGTCTTAGCCAGAAACTCATCGGCATCGAACAGGGCCGCAAAGGAACCATTAACGACCTTCGGTGAGAGCGGCGAGTTCGAAAGCAACAGACTGGAACCGAAGGCCTCATTTTTCTCTTTAGTATCTGTACGAGTGTTTGTATAAAAAAAGAGAGAACACATATTTTGGGTGGATTGGAGTGCATTAAACAATCATATATAGTAAGAACAAAGATTTATACAAAAAAAGCTCAACTTCTACTTATTAAGTCAAAAGGCCTTGCGTTTACCCTTCAAGTAGACGCGGTTTGAAATTGTTATGTTCATCTCCTCGAGCACCAGCGTAGCCACCTGTCGTATCTCCATCCAGTCCTTCACCACATCATCAAGCGTTGTGTGCGTCGACGTGATGGTAAACCGTATGACATACTGTCCCTTCAGGGAGGACGGGATGCAGTGCAGATTGCCGCGATGGTTGAGGCGCTTCAGGAGTCTCTCGGTGATCTCATTATCGCCACGTATGCGAAACACCACAAGACCCAAATGTCGCTTCGCTGGCAGCTCAAAACGATGGTCGGCCAGCACAAGAGCCTCGAACTTCTGCGCTAAACGTACGCTCTCTCGAATGTGGCGCTGCAACCCCTTAATTCCAAAGGAGCGCAGCACGAACCAGACCTTAAGCGCCCGAAACCGACGGCTTAGTGGTATCTGCCAGTGCATAAAGTCCACAGCTACACCCGAGTTCTCGTGCTGCAGATACAGCGGCTCCACATTGAAGGTCCGATGCACGGCCGCGCTATCGCGCACCCACAGGGCCGTTGCGTCGAAGTGTACCATCAGCCATTTGGACGGATTGAAGGCTATGGAATCGGCACGTTCGATGCCTCGCAACCAGGTCCTGAACTCTGGACAAATAAAGGCGCTGCCAGCATAAGCGGCGTCCACATGCAGCCATAGATTATGCTCCCGACACACAACGCCAACCTGTGGAGGTGAAATGAAAGTGCCGAGTAGAAATAAGCTTCCCTGTTGTTACGTTTATGTCCGAATGTTGAAATAAGAATATTCGCAACCATGAGAGAGTTTTTCACATCTTTGTTGGCCAAGAATTGGGTCTCTTTCTTCATACACATGGGATATACCTTTGTACATATCTCTTTGGCTTGCAACACTATTTAATCTAACAATTAACATAACAACTTGGGGGAGATACATTTTTTTTTTAACCACTGAACAGTTAAGCACTGCATTGAATCTAATCTAATCTATTCGAAAGTTATACTTGTAGGAAAAACTCATAATTTCTATCATGGCAAAATTTCCAGGTATAAGAAGCTTTTGCTTCTGGAGCCTTTCTGTTTAATGTGATCCTAGCCGTATGCCTATTTAATTGCTTACTGCTACCCACCTCTTCCAGATTGTCGAAGGAGCAGGAGCCGGTGGTGCCCAGCGTGGCGCAAACCTGAAAGGAGTAGCAAATAAATAAACGAGCAGACGCTTATTAATTGATTCCTTCGGGAATCGCAGGCTGCGGCAGCTGCCAGCCAAAGGCAAATCCACTCTCGAATAATTGCGCGCAAGCAGAGACAACTGCGCGTTGACATGAGGCCAATTAGTTTTGACAGTCGCCAGCCGCCAACTGCCAGCCACCAACTCCGTGACGTCAGCAACTTACCCAGAACGGTACCAGACCCTTCTTAATGTCATCCTCGATGGCCTCGCGCAACAGTTTGCCGCGCATCGCCAGCTGCTCGTCCGCCTCAATGTAACGCATACGCACGAGTCCTGTTCGATGGTAAAAATTAGGGAAAAAAAAGGAAAGGGGGAGGGAGAGGGTGGCTTGAAACAAATAGCTCTTAAGCGGATTACAAACTGGGTCACGCACCAATCAGAGCAGCCTTCTCCACACTCGAGTGTGCCTGATCAGAGCAATAGGCGACAAGCCGAGCATTTATCTCCGCATCTTGGTACCCAGGATGGCGTTCATGGAAACGCTGAATGGCGCGAGTCCGTCCCGCCAACAGGCACACCAACGTTGCCTCGCTGGCCGTCGTCTGCAGCACTCCGCCCCCCTTGCTGCTGTTGCTTAAGTGGAGAAATTCATCCGGCAGTCCAATCATTTTCCCCAGCCAATTCATCACTATGATCTCCAGCTCTGTACATGCCGGCGAACTGGCCCAGGTGAAGCCCAGACAGTTGATGGCATCGGCCAGCATGTCACCCAGCAGGGACGGCATCGAGTTCAGAGCCGGAAAGTAGGCGTGCATGTGCGGACCTTCAAGGTTCACAAGCGAACAAGGATGAGAAACTAGTTATTTTTATCTTGATTCCAGCTAAAGAGTGCCGCATAATTGATTATTATTTCTATAGATTGCTATCCAATCGATTGGTCAGAAATTATTTAAAGAGTAGGAAATGGATGTATCAAACGATTTAAATGAAACATCAGATAAAATACTCGTTTAGTGGAGTTATTCTGATCATATATACATATATATTTATGTACCACGCCTTCTTTCCTCACCGTTTGGGTCAACTTATATAAGTTATTAGTATATTTCTGCTGATCACGCGATTTGCCAATCTTTCCTGACTCTGGGAAAAAGCTGCTGCCATTAGTTATTTAAATAAGTCCTGTTATTGATTATATGTCTGGCTGGCAGTAATTTTTTTTAGTATAGTATATAGTACTATGGTTAGTAGTTTGACTTAGTGATTTCATATATGCTTGCCTAATCCACCCCTTACTTTTGTTATTTAGCTCAAATGAAGAAATGCGATTTCTTTCTTAGTGAAGTCGGTTATATAATTTGAATAAGGAGAATGATTTGTCCAGCCCTAAAAACACCCGTATTCATGGTCTCGTAAATATATCTTGATATGAAAGAGGAATAGCTTGTGTGAGACTTACTCTGCCAATGGGTTATGCCCGGCATAATGACGCGCTCCACATCCCCGAATATCTTTGGCCAGGGTTCGCCCTCGATGGGCGCCGATTCGGGCAACAGTTGACGCATATAGCCGGGGCTGACGTCGGGAAAAACGCGGCGGTCGCGTATATTCTCCAGATAGTCGGCTATGTAGTCAACCATTTCCTTGCCTGCAACAACGAGAGGTCGAGCGAGGGAGGAGGAATTGGGAAGGGGAAATGCAAATGGAAATAGGGAGGGGGAGAATCATTAAATAAAGATATATATTTCATGGCTGTGTTGCTGTTGCTGTCAGAATGAGTTTGCGACAAATCTCTTTAGTGTGGACGGCATGCCTTAAATTGAGATGGCCATGCAAATCAAATTAGGCAGCACGCATATGTGTAAGTCTGTGCGTGTGTGTGTATGTGTGTGTAGATTTATATGCCATACTATCCACAAATACTATGCTGATGCTGTGCGTTTTATGGCTGCGACTTACCCCGCTGGCGATATTCCTTAAAGTCCATTTCAGTGCGTGCGAATCGTAATTCCAATTCCGACTGTGACTTGAACTTTGACTTTAGCTTCGACTGGACTACGTCTGCGACTGGGACTGGGACTGGACTGGAGCTTAACCCCTGACTGACGCAAATTGTGTGTGTCTTTACTTGAATGTCTGTGCTAATCCTTTTGATTGTTGGTGTTGTGGGGTTGCTCCGATTTGCTCGATTACAGAGCGCATGCCATTATCTGTCGAAACAAATTTTGTGTAACCAACTTATGTGTAACTTTTTTGAATGGTATAGCCGAATTGGAGCGTCGACCATTCACGTTCTCGTTCTGTTTACGGAAAAGCTAAGCAAAAAACTTGTGGGTTGCGTTGTTGTGGGGCTTCCGTGTAATTGGAAATGAAAAGCGTGCATGGAATGGTGGAATGAGAGAGTGGTGATGGTCGTGTTTGGGAAACGACATCAGCTGTAAAAACAGACCAACTAATATTCCATGGACTAGAGGGCGTGGGGCGTGACTGTCTACAATCGCGTTTTAGCACTGTATTAACCTCACTCAGCCACAGGTCGTTGAAAATACTATCGGGATAGACAATATACTTGTAGTATAGTAGTAGAGCTAAAAAAAAGGGTTGCTTCTAATGACGACTACACAAATATTTTGGTTACCATTTATTCTGTCAGTTCAGTCGATAGCTGAACTGTTCTTTATATAGCCTTGGCTTGGGCCAATTTAATGACACAATTAAAAGGGTTGAGGTGAATGCGATTTGTCAGAGAAAGGCATTTTTGTGTGTTAACAGATTGTCCGGCAATTACACGGCGACAATTTTCATACAAACATGCAACTAATTGCTAAGCTCGAGATGCTAGCTAACGGATAATTCGCAAAATGCGATCCCCGAACAAAATTCTATTCGATTGTGCGCGCTCTCTAATTGTTTATGCTGGTTGTTGCAATGCTGTCACCTAATCTATCCAACGATCTATCAAATACATTTGTATATAGTCGTAGACTGTGGTATGTGAATATGACTGCAACATCGCGTTTATTGAAATTTAAATGCTCGTAATTGGAGCTCTTTTATTTTAGATGGCTGTCCGTTTTTTCGTTCTTCCGTTTGCTTTCGCGAATCAGCAGAATTCTGCCAGGATAAATGGCTGATAATGATTGGGAAATTGTTCAATATTTTTGTTGTTATTAATATAGCGTAAACCAAAGCAACTTTAAGGCTTACTTAAGTATTTATCTAACCCACTTAGTTGTGCCAGTTAAACATCATAATTTTAACGTATTATCTTCACACATCTCTTGTTTTCCTAAGATAACAAAATTGGACTGCCACAAAAATAAAAGAAAGTTCTTTGAGATAATCAGAGTCAGCTTTTGACTGGCATACAACGTTTCTTCATAAACAACACAAAAACCTGTCAATAATACAAAATTATTAAAATATTTAGCACAGTAAAAGGACTTGTCCGTCCGGAGATACAATAATCATAAATAATCGATTCTTTTTTAATCTTTATTTTCTTAATTTTCAGCACTTTTCTTAGAAATATGTCAAAACTGTGAGTAAAATTTTTTGTTCGATTAAAGTGGAGCATTTAGTGTAATAAAAAAAGACATTTGGAATACAATATATGCACTTTTAAGTTTAATGTAAATAATAATTCGAACACAATTTTGTTTTGAAAATTACCTTTAAGCGATTTATTTTAATCTGTTGCTTCAAAACGAATATAATGAGCAAATAAAAAACCTTTTTTTCTATTTGAACCTAAATTTTATTTTCTTTTGTTTCTCACAGATAATCACAATTTAGGAAGCCTTGAGGCCAACAACAGAAACGAACTGCAGAAATTGCCTGCAGGATGTCGCTATTTATACCCGAAAGCTGGCAGCTGGCAAACAGCTTCTGAAAGGACATAAAACAGCAGGATTTGTTGTCTAATAAGAAAGACAATGGCATCAACAATTGAATGGAATGAAACGGAACGAAACGAAAAGGATGCGCTGCGAACAAAAGTGAAGTGCGTGTCTGAGTAGCCAGCCAATGGAAAGCGACGCGTAGGAAAACAAATACGTGCGCGTTGACCAATCCGCGCGAGGCCCAGGCGCACACACACATGAACATCTGCTGGACATTATGTGACGGTCCTTAGGGAAAGGTGGTGCAAGCCCTTTGGTTATTTTGTCTTCTTTAACATAGGGCCAGACCTAAAAAACTTGTTTATTTCAACTCACATACATAAATCCAGAGTGAGAAGCGCGCTGTCTGCTGAAAAGAATAATTGTTTGCTGGCTTATCATTACGAGCTGATTATGAAACGCTTACCATTCTGACTGTTAAGTTTGCGTAATCCCGTACTCAACAATCAGCGCATCGACAGAGGCCAGATGCTCCACACAGGAAGACATAAAGTTTGGTAAATTAGTCGGCAATAAAAGTTGAAAAAAATTGAAAAGAATTGGGGGGCAAAAAACAGTAAGCTAGCGAGCAACAATGAAATCAAACGGAAAAGAACTTCTAGGCCAAAAGCCGTCTCGCCGTCTTCAAACATTTTTGGCCCAAAGCACCCGTCTATTAGCCCTCCATCAGACCCGTCCCGCATTACCGCATTACACAGTTACAACAGCGTCAGCAGCTGATGTTGATGTTATTGTTGTTGTAGCTTCTCTGCCGCTGGAGGTCAATGCGCTTTGCGCGAGTACTTCGTCGTCTCAGATATTTCGACAGAATACCGCTACATTCAATGGCTTTGTTGCATATATGTATACAAAAATTATCTGCGACTGTGTCTGAGCTGTGTTTGTATGTGTTTGTGCGTATTACCAAATATTGAGCAATAGCAAGAATTTCGGTTTCTTTTGGCTCAGTTCGGTTACATTGCGACTTTGCGACTTTTTATCATACTCATACAAAACAGAGATTTCATTATTTAAACTGTGCGCGTGTGTCTGTGGGTGTGTGTGTGTTTGTGTGTGTGCATTCTTGTAATTGTGCTGCGAAAGAAAGCTGATGATAAAAATAGAATTTACTTAAATTGTTTTCACAAAAATACAATTCTTCAAAATGCATGCATTTTTCTTTGTGGATTGCTCTCTCTATCTTTGATCGCGCACTCTGGCCATTTCATTGAGGAATGTTCTCTTCGCTCTGCTTCTCTTAATCATGCTCACCTGCTTTCTCTGCTGGCTTTCTTCTCGCTCTTAGTAACACTCTCTGGAAGTTGCTCTTACCTACACTTACTCACACACACACTTGCATGGCACTTTTTCGTGTTTTTGTGTTTTGATTCCCCATTCTTCTTGGCCGCTCAGCGTTAAGAACGTTCGTTGACCTTTTTGCTTCTACATGTTCTTTAGCTGCTTCGAATGGGGCTTGTTGTTGGCACTGCTTCTTCTTCTACCCGATTAGCGGTACTTCTCAACCTGTTTTATTTCAGTTTTTTCTCCTGCTGACTGGCGTGATAACTTTTGCCGCGTTCACCCATACACACACACATACACATACTCATACTACACTCAAAGCTTACGTGTACTTGTTGCTCATACGTGTATGTGAGTGTGTGTGTGTGTGTTTGCTGTAGAAGTCTTCCTGTTTATTCAGCGAATAAAGGTGCGCTTGTCGATGACGCGTCGGCAGCGCTGCTGCGACTGCGACTGCGGTTGCTGCTGCCGCTTTGGTCGTGCTCATCATTGTGGGCCGAAGCGTTTACAACGTCACGGGTTGCGGTTGGTTGCTGAGTGGCTTGGGATGGCTCTGACCGCCTCTGATGAAATGCGCGCCATACACGCATCACTTTTCAAGCCCCCCTTCGCGATCAGGTAAACAAGAATTTAAAGTGGAAAGGGTATATTCATTTTGCACACTCTTTGTAATTCACAAAAAATGCTAGACGGCAGACACGATTGTCCGGCAGCCTTATTGTATGAAGTAATCGATCGGGGAGCCGATCAGTCTATCAGCAGTCTAAGCCTTGGAATGGTTATCTAACAAATAACTCAAAACAATAATCCTTTTTGAAGAATTGGTTCTTCGGCTCCGATTTTGTTACCGACTCTTGCCGGTACAAGATTTATCATAAAGCAGATATAAAAATAAAATATTCTCTGTTTTCAACAGGGAAGTTTAGCAATACTATAATCAAAACGAAGAAGTCTATAAAGTAAACAAGATATGGAATCGTTCGTTTTACAATAAATAATAAATTGGTTTATTTATATAAGTGTAATAGCGGCTCTTATTGTGGATCCACATCTCAATCGATTAGTTTCTTTTATGTAATGTTTAAAGTTCTGGTGCCGCTTGGAACTCTTCGTATAGGGTATCTTATAGTCATGGTGGCTTAATTTGTTCGCTCTGGTATGTATTTTTGAGAGATGATCACGCATTTAATTAGCAAGAATTTCTTTCTTGCGATTAGCGCTCGGCTGAATTTCTGGCCAGTGGGGCCAAAGTTCTGTCTGTCTTCCTTTCTCCTTTCTGCGAAATCCGCCAACTGCGCAGGCGCAACTGCAGTTGCTGCTGTTGGCTGGCTACTGCAGGGGTTTTGTTGCCACCTCCGCCACCACCAGCACCACCGCCACCGTCACCACCGCCTCTGCCACCTTAATCACAAGCACGCATACACAGACACAGCATCCCAGGCTCGGTGCAGGTTTTGGCCGGCAGATGACTCCGGCAACAACTGAAACTGCAACTGGATGGACTAAACGGGCAACGTTCTCGCATTTTAGTGTGCAAACGTTTGTCCACACGTCCAGTGGTGTTGCTTGTTGGTGTTCGGTATTCGGTATTCGTCCGCCGACTGTGGCTCGTTTATTAGACTTCTTTTTTTCCTAGTGGGCGCTGTCGCCACGCCGGCTAATTTACCGTTTGAAGAACTGTTTGTCTGTTTGCCCGAACTGAACCAACTGGCTGCCTCTGTCGCCTCGATCTTTCGCCCAACCCGGCTCGTCTCGGCCTGAACTAAAAATGTGCCGTGATACACAAACATAGACATTGCATCGCAACAATACCGCTGCAATTTGCATTTGACATGTGCCCGTACCCATACCCGTGCCCATGAGTGTCGTGTGCCTGCCTTGAGGCCAAATGTGGGCCAATCAGTGAGCCGTAACTCTCCTCGTTGTAAAACCTAGCAGATGTCTATTTATCCTATAAATGAGCTCAGACAACAACGCATGTAACATGCCAAGCACTATCAGAGGTGAGCATCAT